CAGTTGTAAAAAGGTTTTATTTAATGTATTATTTGAAGTGTGTGTGGTGTCTAACCAGAGGTACAGCACTGATCTGGATGAGCAGGTGGGCTTCCTCCAGGTCTCCGTACTGTAGCTGATAAGGCTTGTAGGGGTCATACAGCGAGCACACCAGCTCAGTCACCTTCAGCAGATTATTCTCACCTGGGGAGGAAACACAGACAGAACATAAGGACACAACTCCATCTACATCTGAACTATCGACAGTCATGTCTGTTCTAATGTACAGACCCAGGTGTGGCAGCATGGCGGCCTCCAGGCTGTGTCCGAAGGTAGAGGTGGTGTGATGGAGCTCCAGCAGCGTGTCGAGGCGCTGCTCCTGGGCCGACCGCTCCAGAGCCGAGCTCAGGCACACGGGGATGGAGGGCACCATGGCCCCCAGAGTCTGGATCAGCAGCACCGTCACCACCTCGTACGGGTTCTTAAAAACCTGAGGAGTTACAGGTATAACGTGAACAGAATTAAAAGAGCATTCTGAGGGACAGTGTTTATAGAGGTTCAAGGCTTTTATTGTTATTTGTAGATGATAGATACAGTGTAGTTATGTCAATGAAAATATTAGGTCACAGGCTCCTCCAGTGCAACACAATAAAATAGATACGAAATAGAAATAGTGCAAGAAGAGTCTATGTACAAGTAATTGGAATATGATATATTAGATAAATAATTTGTAAGTTGCAAACAGATGAATGTTATGGATGTTCTTTCAAAAGTTAAGGAAAAAAAAGAAAAAGTTTAGACTGCAACAGTTGCCGTTATCACGCTATATAAATATTTAATTTGATGTTTCACTTATTCTTACCGATCACTATCCAGCCCTGTCAAATAGTGAGTCAGGGTAGAAAATAAAAAAGGCATTTTCGGAGGATTTTTGCTGTGTTTGAAATTTGAATAGATTTTCCTACACAACAATACATGTTTTTGTCGCTTACTTTACTGTGTTTTAGGGCAAATATCTCAAATATGTGAGCAATTTTGTCCTTTTCCCTTGATTATCTTGACACTGTAGGAAGTCAACCAATGCTTCTGGTACTGCAGGGTGACTGACCTGGCTGCTCCACTGTAGTTGAGAGTGCCACGAGGAGAGCAAGGTGTCGTAGAATTCAGACAGCTGCTGATTCAGACTGAGCTCGCTCTGAGAGAGATCCTGCCACATGCTCACCAGCTGACCCTGGAGAAGCCACAACAAACATGTCAACACAGGGGATACATCAGAGAATATGATTTTTCTGAAGATCATTCTTAAGGTTATGGAGAGGCCTGTAACACTGACCTTGTGACACTTGTAGTAGTAGGCAAGGAGCTGTGGCATCCTATCTATCTCTGTGAAGACTTTAACAAACAGCTTGGCTTGGTCTGCAGAAAGAAAACACAGAATTAAACTTAAATGAACTACAGAAACTGAACGATGGAATACATCTTAGAAATACTGGTTTCACTGGGTCTTACCTAGAGACATGGAGTTAAAGGTTGCTACTATCTGAGGGCTGGCCAGAGCTTCCAGTCTGTTCTTCAGAGCCTCCAGGTGGACACACTTCTCAGAGTAGTCCGGAGTATCCACCAACATGGCCAGACTGTTCTGCATGCTGGTCAGCTTGGAGGAAATGACTGCCATGTCCTGGAAAAGGAAGAGAACATAATTGAATGAACGTACACAAAACAATACCTTAATATTCTATTATAAAAGACACAAATTATACCGTCAGTAAAATTATCTTTAATTCCTCTTGACCGAAATCAAATCAGTTCAAATCAAGGGCCTGGAAAATTGCTTGATTATGTTAGAGGTCAATTTACAAATGCATGGGCTTCCTGTCCACTACAATGAATTGTAACTATTCTTCAAAAACAAAACCACTTCTAAAAAGCAACAAGCCTTTCATTAAAAATGTTTTTATACATTTCACATACTTTTTTTGTATTTTTTTCACATTTATATTCTTATTTGCTTCTATTCTATATTTATGTTTCTAGTTTTGCTTTAAGGACATTTCCTTTTATGTTAAAACCTAAATTGCAAAGATTCTAATTTAAATCGATGTTTAACAGACGTTCATTGTAAAATAATATCCCATTCCAAAACAGTAATTGGTTGTGAGTCTGGTTGAGCAGCAATGTCTCATGATCACAGAGCAGCAAGCCAGACAAAAATATAACCAGAAGTCCTGTGGCGTTGTCTTTCATGTGTACCTGTGTTTTGAAGGTCTCCTCGATGTCTGCACTCAGTGTGCTCCATTTGTCGGCCTCCTGCAGAGCTTCAGCTGCCAGCTGCATGCGGCCCTTCACTTGATCGATCTCCACCAGGACCTGAGGAGTAGGAATCACACAATGTGAAAGTCATCTGTAAGAAATATCCTCATGCACCCTCAACATACTGCAACTGTCAAGCTTTGAGCAGCAGTTTTGTTTCAATAACATGTCACCAGGTAAAGATTTGTATTATTATTATTTTACATGCATATGCAGTAATGACAGTGATGTAAACACACACACCTGCATAGACTGCACAGTGTCTTGCTCAAACTTCCTGATGTCCTCTTTGACCAGAACCATTTGCTCCTTGAGGAAAGAGGCCTCCTGTTTCAGAGCCTCCACGTCCCGCAGCACTCTGGGCATGTTCTGGAGCGCCTGGTTACTGCTCTCTGCACGCAGACAAACAGCAGAGGATCAGTTAGTAAATACATACAAGAAAACTAAAACTGGGAATTGGGTTTCTACAACAACATCAAATGATTGTTAAGGAAGGAAAACAACTCACTATTTCAGTGACTCTGGCCTATCATGTAGATTGCATGGAGCAAAGTCCCAATAAATGAATCCGAGCCGAAAATGCAATACCGACATAGAATAGCATTACAAATAAGTAATTATACAACTGTTTTCAAGAGGTGTTTTTTCATCTTTACAGTCATGTTGGAAGCGTGTTGTGATGTAATGCACCATAATTGATGTTGTTTATCATTTTTAAAGTCTACCCTGAGTGACACAAATAAGGATCAACTTTCAATACATTCAATAACTAAGGAGTAATGCAATTCAGTAGATTTATAGACTTCTTGCACTATTTTTTATTTGTATTTCGACATTTTATTATATATGTTGCATAGTTGGAGGAACTCGGTTCATAAGATTTTCATTGCCATTTCTACCCTGTAGTTTATGTGCATATGTCAATAAAACCTTTGAATCTTGAATCTAGTAATGGACGTAGTAAATCTGTTTTATTTAGACAGCATAAGATTAGGCTAGCTGTACTCCTGAAACCGGAAACGGAGTGATTAACCTCCCACTTGGTGCATCTAAAACAAGACAACCTACAAACTGTGAACGTGGCGTTAAAGCAAAACGTCATAACACTTTACTTTAAGCTCTTACCCTCAATGGCATTGTTGACTTCCTGGATGAAGAGCTGCAGTTTCATCACCAGAGTGGCTGCGTGTGTGTCTGCCTTCCCCGGAGCGTCCTTCTGCACCACCTTGAAGGCTCCGTTCACCCAGTCTTTCACATCAAATTCATCATCCAGGAACTTAGAGAAATCCATGTTCCCTCTTCACTTTCTCCCCAATGCAAGAAGCTGGTGTGCACTCAAACTCTTGTGGTGCAGTGCAGTCTGTGTCATCGACCCATTGCTAACGCTAGCTAGTTTTTCCCAAACAATGGCTTCGACACAAATATAAAATAAATAGCCCAGGAAAATGAAATTATCATTACAACTAAGTATAGCTCCAGCAAGGCGACGGCTTCCTCCAGAGTTGTTTTTGAATGTCTACGGCTCTAAAAAGAGAAAAGTAAAGACATGTTTCTGTGTGTTTGATGCTGGCAGAGCTAATGCTACAGACGCTTGACAACAACTTCCTCTTTGTGCTTTCTGTTTACCTTCCCCAGAAACCAGCGCCGGAGCGGTTTCATCAACTTTTTCAAAATAAATATATATTTTTTGTAAATTTCTATAGAGAAAGACAACAGTTCGTCTACCAACAATTTTAATATTTTTAAACGAGTATAAATCACATTTTGTGTAGAAAAAAAGGAAGTGTCCCACATAAGTATGTCCGTGCAGAAACGTCATTTTTCTAATGGGCTTTTTGTTAGTGTTGTGATCTTGTGATGCCCCAAGCAAATCACATATATGTTAAAGAAAATTATAGCAGTATACGTTTTACACTACTTGTGTAATTATGTGCTGATTTAATAACTTTATAAACTGTATAGCATGAATGTATTCACTTTGCTTACCTCTTGAGGCAACAATCATACAAACCAGTCATGATACACAGCTAGTGGAGCTATAAATGACTGCTTTAACTGTATCTTTAGGACTATGACCCATTTACTAGAGCTGCAACAATAAAAACGGTAATCCTCAATGTGCCATAAAAGTTTGTGCATCAATAAACTATAACACTGCATCAAATATAGTTCTATTGCCTTATAGTGCACATTGAAAATTATTCTTTGGGTGATCTTGGGTAGCTTAGTTTTTATAGATAGAGAAAAACTTTGAAAATTAAGGACGGATAGTATATTTATGTATTTGTAAAATGGCATTTGATGGCAAGAAGCTATTGGCACACATAGGTCACTAAAATTGTCAAGGAGCTATAGGAGATCTGCTTTTGCTGTAACCTGTGTTCCACGTGCTAGGCAAAACCAGGACTCTCATTCTAGGGTTATTTCATATCTGCTTCAGTGGACATTTATCTCTTCACACAATAAATGAAAAATATGCAAAACAGAAAAGCAGTTAAAGCCTTGAAAGTGGAGGTGGAAGGCAGTAACACAACTGAAACCACACCTCAACCAGCTTCTAGCAACTGTCCACGAGGATATTCATAAGAAAGGTATTCCGACTGCTCTTCAACACCTTTAAAAAGATGGGAATAATAAATAGTATTAAGGAAACGCTGTCCAAGGCTGTGTTCACTCCTTCAACTCTGTTATCCGGTCGAGGCGGACTTCACATGGCTCAGATCCTTCTGTCTCTTGTCACCTTTCTACTGTCTGCCTTCAGAGGAAAAGGTACTCACTCATACTGGAACTATGCTATGTTCACCTGGGCCTTCTGCCCCATCATGACCCTCATCATCACCATTATTGAGATGTTCAAGCTGGACGTCATACTCAATCTGTTCTGCATGGACTGGCCTGACTTCGCCACAGGCATGGCCATGTCCTCCACCCTCATGACCGTCTCTGTCGCCATCACATTTGTGAACTTCTACGCCTGCCTGACGTGCTTTTACAGCCTGATAATCTGTTTGTTCGCAATCTTGGCTGGCGTTGTGTACACACTTGAAGTGGTGAAAGACAAAATCTGTGACAAGAAGAAAGGGAGCTACCTGGCCGCTCTGCCTGGATTCTTCAAGGTTTTGGAGGCGTTTGTGAGCTGCATGATTTTTGTCTCACTGACCGGTTTCAGAGACAAGCCGGCGCTGATCATATGTGTTATCGCCTACATCATTCCTTTCCCCATCCTCCCTCTAATCATAGCCACCAACATCCTGAAGAAACTGAAGACGTGTTTGCCCTTTAACCTGGACAGATTTGTGTTTATATTCCTGGTGATTTCAGTTGTGCTTTATATTTTTGCTGCTATTGTGTGGCCTATTTTTATGTTCAGGAATAACCCTCGGCCCAGTGACTGCCCCCCCAGCTACTGTATCTGGGCCATACAGTTCATGGTTGCATTTTTTACCTACGTCAATCTTATTTTGTTTTCAATCGACCTCGTTTTCACCCTGCTTGGTATCTGTGGCTTTAAGCGCTCATAGTGGTGAGATTCCTAACCCCGATATGACCTATAACGACAAAAAGAATGTATGATGAATACAACATCTTCCCATAGCATTACATTGTGTATACACAATCATTTTCTAGCCTATGAAAGATTTCTAAGCTTTGTCAGCCCTTAAGGCAGTCTCATTTTTGGATGTCTGTTTTAATAATCCCCTTTTAGTTGTATGGCCCTGCCAATTATGTTTTGCAAATGTTGCATTAGGTCTGTTTGAAAGTGAAATTACACATGACTGAACATACCCGTGTTTCCTTGGATCTGGCAGCTACGAACCGATAAGAGTCAGAAAAACCAAAATGGGAATAAAGTTACGCTTTGATAAAAAAATGGTTTCCCTATTTCTGTGATCTGGTTTTGTCACTAGGACATATTTTTTGGGACGGAGATAAAACACTGATCTGCTTGTGTATACATTTTGTCTATGAAATATTGTTTTGCATACTTTTTTAGGTAATTGACGGATAAAAGTGATCCTATGCTTAGAAAGCCTTTAGTATTTCTTGTTGATTTCTTTATGAACATGGATTTGAAATGATGTCTATAAAACGAAGAAGCAAAGCTGTGTTAGACAATGCAGTCTCCCCTATATTTAATCATTTACATTTTTTTATTGTAACTTAATATAAGTAGACATTTGACAGTTGCCACAATGTTTAATTCCCTCACAGTTAACAATAGTTCTGGGCCAGTATATTTAAATCAGCAAGGGACAGTATATTCAAATTTCATAATACGGATGCGAGGAATCTGAGATAGTGAATGCAAATTTCATGGCAAACACTGAGAACTATGAAATGGAAATTAACTACGAACAATAATGTATTTACACACTATTGTTAAACCTTATTACAAGGGGGGGAAATGGCATATAGAAACAATGCTTCACAGTCCGAAAGACATCAGGGGTCCAGCTTTGACGACAGTGGGTGAGCACCTACAGGCCTCCTATGGCTCCTCGAACTCGGCGGTCTCCAGCAGACCCTGGAAACAGAAGTAGTGGGAGTTGCAGAAGACGGGAGGTTTGTTGGGAGACGAGCCCACCACTTCTGGTTTCAGCGACGCGAAGGGGCAAGCTCCACTTCCCTTCAAATGCATCTCCAACTCCAGCAGGATCTGCAGGGAGTAGGTCATCTCCGTCTCACTATGGCAGGGGGGGAAGTATCAGCAGGCGTTACACTTAAACACACCATGGATACATTTACATGGATAATGGAGCATCCACCAGGCATTAAGTATATTTGCATACTTTTCATGCAATTGTTTTGCAAATCTATTACAATGTGCACGTTTATAAACTGTTCTCTGTGAATTTAAATGGGGACCTGAATTGAACTCTGAAAACGTGCCAGAGAAAAAAATATGTACAATTAATTACAGAGAATTACTAACATATAACATAAATGAGATGTTAAAAAATAATATACAGTTCACCAAGTTATTTATTTCTATCAGATTACAGTCTCAATGTACTTGGGTTTGCATTTATTTATAGATGGTTAGGGTATCTAATGTTAAAATCTGTAACTGGAGTTAAATATGCAACTTTTTTTGGATTTAGGTGTCATAAATCAGCAGTATTGGGATCGATTGAGGTGATTAAGTTAAAAAGTAGAAAACACATGCGAAAAAAGGTAATAATGTTATATTGTTTGACTTGGTTTTGACTACTTATTTTAATGTATAACAATGCTTCCTTTTATGACCCTGATTTTGATGAATATTGTTTATGTCAAATCTCAACTGTGATCGTAATTAGTAAGGTACACTACATTTAACAGAAGCACTGTACTTTAGTAAATCTACTAAGGTGGCTGCTATGTAACACTCACTTGAGAGCAGTGAAAAGTGAAGGAATCTCATAATCCCTGAGGAGCAGAAGAGTCGGAAGCCAACCTTGTTCCAGCGCCTGACTGGCATCAAATCCTTGACACAAAAAGTGTAAAACATTTTAATATGAACAAGAACCTCCTCATATGGTTATTAGCTATACATGAAGTGGCTTTTGTATTATATATTTTTGTGTGATAGCATGTTTTTTTACCAGGATGAAATCCAACCACCAGGTCTGGCTTGGCTGCTTCCTCTTTCTCCACCAGCTCCTCCCAGAACTGGTGGTAGAGGCCCTTGTAGGCGCTGATGAAGACCCTCTGCCTGGGGCCGAACGCCCTGAGAGGAGGCCTCACGATGGGCCCGTCCACCACCTCTGGTCCCACCATGACTATCTCTATGCCCTGGTGTCCGGGGAACATGTTGTTCAGCTCGTCGTAGTCCGTCAGTCTGGCTCCCATGGTCTCGCTTTGGCCCGCTCCCACCAGGTGAATGGTGAGAGGTTTGGAAATGGGGTTAAGACCGAACAGCCTCATGCCCCAGGCGATGGTCAGCGGCCTGGAGAACAGCTCACTGCAGACCCTCCACAGAGAATCCTTCAGGACCTCATCGACAGGCGGAGGCCTGCCGGCGTTGGTCCACAAGTCTTTCATGTTTGCTCCTTTTAAGATGGGATCGAGGCGAGGTGTGAGATCCCCCTGCATCGCAAGCCAGTCGTCCCAGCCTTTAATCTCTGACTGGGGCTTTGACCATTTCTCTGTAGGGAACGGTAGGTCTCCTGATAGGAAAAAATAAGAAATATGTTTAGTAGTAAAAACAGGAGTTCATGAGATGTGGTTTTAATCCTTACTTTCAACTTCCTTTATTCCTTTCCTGGGAGAAGACTTGGCTTATCCAATTGTATTTTACCATTGTTTAAGAAAATGTATAAAAAAAGCGTAATTAGACAGTATGAAGTTGACTTTTGATTGTGTTCTGGTTTTATGTTTCAGTATTTGTAAGCAACTGTGACTGAAAGAATGTTAAACTTTTTTTTTAAGAAGGGGCAGGTAAAATAAGATGTTCTTCTCCCTGCTCCTTTCCACCATCCGCTATACAAATACAAATTAAAACAGTATAAGTGTACATGTTTTGTAAAGTGTACATGTTTTTGTTTTTAAAATAACTGCCATGAACAAATAAAATAAAAATAAAAATGTGTGTGGACTCTCTTCCATTGATGTTTTACCTTTGAATAAAAGCCATTCCACAACTCGGTCAATGGAAGCCAGACACAGCTGTGAGCAGAATTTCTTGTGTTTGGGCCAGTCATTCTTTTGACAGTCTTTACAGCAGTAGTAAACAAATAGACATCTGTGCAAAGATGGGGAAAAAGCACAAGATTAGAGATCACAAAATGACTCACTTTGATGGAGGGATATTTTTTGCTGCAAAGGTCTGACTGGTGATTACCTGGCACAGCGCTTCATGCTCGGTGGGTTTGAAAGTTGATTTGGCTTCTTCTCACAACAGGCACAGATTTTAAAAGACTCCTCCATCTTCTCAAACATCTCCTTTTGAGACTGGAAGGTCATGGCTTTTCCCTTGGTCTCCATACCAGCTCTGGAAAGACAAACCAAAGAGGTATTGAATACAACATAAGTATTGAAAAGTAACTCTTTCGTAATAACAGTTCATTTATAAGCACCACATGCTAATACCAATTGTAAAAGTAACAAAGATCGTCTATTTCTTTCTAATCTTAGACATTTGCTACAGTATGAGGAGAGGAGTGACTGCATGCAGGGATTCAAATGAGTTTAACTGTTGCAAAAAAGTTGCCTGAAGCTGGTGATAACTCGAACTAAGGCAAATATGTTAGCAGGGAGTTGAAGTATGAAACAGACTGTGGCTAGCGTCTTTCAAATGTCGAGGAGTTTAATTACCGAGCAACAGGCGGTACTGTTCATGTGCGCGTGACTTCTACAGTCAAGACTTTTATGGAGGACAATGTACATTTAGACATGTTGTCTCAAACAAGGGACATAAGCTCCAATAATATAGCTATAACTCACTTACCTCTTGGTTTCCGTCATTTTTAAACTAGTCTCCCTCACGCTCTTCTCACAGTTTCTTCTTCGAGTTTCGCTCCTCTGGTGTGATATATGAGTCTGTGGGGGGCTGCTGTTCCTCATATAACGTTAGCACCTGTGCTGACCCTTCTAGAAACCTCTGACAACCCCCAGACCCTTCCTGACTTCACAGGAGGAGCAACACAAATATATTGTTAATTTGACTAATTCAAACCAACCAGGATATAGTCAATGTTAACACTAAAACAACATGAGCACCACTGTTACAAAGTGTATTTTATGTTTTAGATATATGTGTTTAGTCTTTATTTTTTGTGTAATGGTTACCTACTGTGGGGAAGTTAGTTTGAGGTTGGGTATTCAGACGCAGAGGTGCATCATAATTGACCAGTGCAGTAATACAATGATAATCTGGAGGAGTTGTTGGTTTATCTGACTTTGAAGCTAATGAAAAGACATCAGACTTTCAATAACATATCTGCATATTTTTATAAAAATATTCATATAAAAAACGATCTATATAAATATGTGTGTGCGTGCGTGCGTGCGTGCGTGTGTGTACACAACCTTTTGCCCCTAGTAAAATATACTATACTCTTGTGCTTCCACTTTCATCCTTTAGAGGGCAGTGTCATACTTCAAAACATGTCCCTCTACTTGAAGCAAAACAAGAAACACATGCAGACAGTAGTAAAATGTGATGTTTAATTGTTTTACAATTTAGCAATATTGGTTGATTTCACTTAATCTAAAATACAACAGAGCAATTATGATTTCATGTTTACACATTTCTAAAGCAGGATTGTCATTCAAAGATGTCTCCAATGGGATTTATTATATCCTGCTAAAAGATTAAAGCAAAATCAATGTGGATGAACCAACAAGGACAGAGGGTACGGAAACAGCTTTATAAAACATTTACAGAAAATAGTTTTGCAGTCAAAGGGGTATTTTTAAAGCTGCTGCAGAGGCTAAGTCCTTTGATTCGAACATGCCTTGCAATATAGTGCAATCACTTATAACGTGGCTGCAATAGGTAAAGTATATAATATGACTGTCAGACAATAAGGTGATGTTTTATCTTGGGGTGATTTCAAAGTTTGTAGCTCATGCTGTTTTTTTTAACTCCATTGAATTGTATTGTGTAACTGATATTAACGCTGAATAAAACAGAAAAAAGCTCTAAAATAAATGCTGTTTGGCTTCTTTAGCTCTTTTTTTTATTGTAAAGCAACAGGGAAAAGGCACTGCTTATAGAGAGTCTCTGGACTCACCATTCAGAGTCGAGCAACAACTACAAAGAGAATCCAAATAAGAAAAATAAACACATTTTACTCCCTGTGAAAGTGTATAATTAAGGTAATCTTAGATCATGTGTTACATCAGCATGCATTTGATTTGAGTTCATGCAGCTATTGTGAAATTTGGGAATACATACCGACAGAAGAAATTACAGAAAACGTTCAAATGATGAAATAAATCATTTTGGTCTCATACACCCATGATCCTTTGTATCCAACTTTGATGCGACCTCGGGGCATGAGGAGAGAAAAAACCTCTGTACCCTGCTGTGGCCCTCAGGTGCCATACATAATGAGCTTTGAGAGATTTCTGTAATCTGTCTTATTAATTAATTATTTACGAGTGTTTAGTGCAGTGAAGGTGCATTATTTCCCCCACTTTCATGCTCTCTTTTCCATACACAGACAGCACCCATATTTGCCATTTGTCAGCACAGCTGAGCAACGTCTGTAAAAGGCAGCCGGTACCCCCAATGACCTCATAAAGTCCCCAAATCCTATTTTGAAAACAACATCTTACAGGATTTACAAGTTTTGGGATCCCCTTAATTGTCTATCCCAGACTCCTCTAAATCTTCTTGAGGCAGCAGTCCCTGGAAACGGATGTAGTGAGAGTTGCAGTGCACCGGGGTTTTGTTTGGGGTGGACTGAACCTGCTCTGGTTTCTGTGAGGCGAAGGGGTTGGGTCCACTGTCTTCGATGTGTACCTCCAACTCCAACAGGATCTGCAGCGAGCGCTCAAGCTCTTTGTCGCTGATGATACAAAGAGATAGCAAAGGAAATAAATTAATCAAGTAAGTTGTATTGTCCTCAAGAGGGACTTATTTTAAGAAAACAGTTTGAAAGAAATTAGAGCACCAACAGCAGAGAAGGAGAACAACATCAATATATTTGCTTTATCATCAAGTTACAGTCTACAGGGGCAGTTTGCTGAGAGTGCCTGCAGTAAAACAAATACATCTTCCCTTTGACTTGCCCTTTATATAAATAGGAATATGCCAGCAGAGGGAAGGAGTGTGAAGTGGGGAAGGAGAGCATTGAGAATGAGAACTGTGATGAGGTCGGGAAGTGAGGAGCAGAGAGACCACATGATGGTTCTTGAGAACAGATGGCATTTAATGTGAACATAACATTTTTACTGTTCCTCAAAGGGCAATGGATGTTATTAACCCCCACTATAACACAGGAAATGTGTATGTTTATGTTACAGTACTGTGACTAACCTGTACAGAGTGAAGCAGGTGGGGATGTCAAGATCTCTGAGCAGCAGCAGGGTGGGCAGCCAGCCTTCAATCAGACCCGGACTAGCGTGGAAACCTGTGTAAAAAACACACGTGTAAAAATAACATCACGTTAAAAATATATAAGACTTTTTAAATGTATTCAATGACTTTAGCTACTTTGCTAATTCAGGTTCTTAATATATAAATATAACATTATAAATCAACTAATTTATAAAATACATTATGATGTTTTATTCTAGGTTTTTAGCAGTATATAAAGTAGTTCAATTACAGTCACTTCACCGGACATATCAATTGGTCAATAAAGTATATGACTGTGTAAACGAGGCATTTTTCTTAAGTATATCTGTAAGTACTGTGAGTTGTAACAGAGTATTTTAACACTTACTACTTTTACTCAAGTAAAAAATCTGAGTACTTTTTCCACAACTGATAAGATCGTATCAATTGTTCAGGGCCTTTAATTTAGAATATGTCACTCTGCAACATATATAAGGCCGTTGAATGGCAATAACACTTAAAAACATCAAACAACGTATGATCTCACCTAGAAAGTCTTTGCACAGTGACAGGTCTCTCTCTCTCTATCTCTCTCTCTCTCTCTCTCTTGAATAAACGTCTTTCTGGACGTGTCGCTGACAGTCGGCCTCATCATCACTCAGTGTGACAAAGTTAATCATGCTCCAAACAAGCCGACCTTGTGTAACTTTCAGCGGGACCTCGGAAAGCATGTCCTAACTTAACCTGGCACAACCGCAGCTGAACATTTGGGACATTCTTGCACAGTGACAATCCAGTGCAGCATCCATGCCGGGTTAGGTTTCATAATCCCTCGGCATATTAACTGACAGATGTCACTCTCTCCCGGCTCTGGTTTGTATCAGTAGTAGGTTTTTTTTCCTGAGCAGCAGGGCTGTGACGCCCTTCAAACAGATGAATGAGGTGCAAGCCACCATGGCAGCAAATACTGTAAATCCATCCGGCTTTAGGGTGTCCTTGAGTGAGACAAAACCAGGCAGCAAACAGATATTTCCCAGCGCTGATAAATTAAGACTCACATTGTTCAGTTGAATGAAGTTTTCCTGGATGAAAATTCAATCCAGGAAAATATGCCTGTTATGAATTTATAAAGCTTCAGCTGTTCAGCACATTTCTGCTGTGTATACTGGTTGTATGTGTGTTAAGGGGCCGAGAGCAAAGCCACAGAGGCAGAGCATTGTAAGACCTGTGATACTGGCACACAGATGGTATCATGTTATCCTCCGACTGCCACATCTTTCCGTGGAACTCAAACTGCAGAAAGAGAGGATTTTGATTTGAATTATGCATGCCATGATACGAACATCCCCGAGGTTACACTCCTCATCATGGTAAAACATTTAACAGGGAGTAAGCGTTTAGGCTCTTAGGCCTTCGGGAGATAAGGGGACAAAGAGACAGAGCAGTCTGACTGTTAATGACTATAATAATTGCCTGGCCATATGGTGGATAAAGTTGCTCTTAATGACAATACTTTGTTTCCTTAAAAAAAAAACACTTTAGAAGTATGACAATGCAGTTTATTATGTGGATACAAACAGCCATCAGGAGATGTTTTTATCTTTGTATGGATGATATTACTTAGACACCTTCTATCTCCTTTGTGAGAGCTGACATCACCCTCCCTGGCTTTTTTCTCAATGTCTGTTTTTTCACCACTCTCTCCTTCTCATTCTCTTTGTGACTTCCACACACACACCTTCCTTTTCATTCCTTTAGTCACGCACGCTGCCTGCTCCCCTATCATTTAAACAGTGTCATAATGCAGTGCTCTGCCAGCGTCGCGCTATGAAACGCAGCCAGGCACTCAGGCGGTTTCCTCGCAGGATGACTGATTCCTGTATATTTAGCTCCAGTGGAGCCGGTGCTGATAACCGAGCTCGGGTTCTGGGTGCAGTTGGGTCGTGGATTTACTGCTGCTTCGCAGGTTAAAGGGTCAGAGAACAGTTTCAGAGCAACAGCTTAGGAGGTGTAGGGTTATAGTGACACATTAATGAGCTTTTGTGTGAGTGGACGCTGGATGTCTCTCATCTTTAGACTGTTATAAAGTGGTGAAAACCTACATGGACCGGTAATGGTGGGATTGTTGATTTCAGACACGACTTGGCCTTGCAGTGTTCATCAGAGTGAATCATAAGGGGTGGGTGGATCTTTCAAAAGGGCAGCTTACCCACATTATGCTGAGTCCAGCAATCAGAAGCCAAACCCTTTCCCGGCTGCTCCTATTAATCACACAAATCCCCAATAAAAGCCCAGTGCTAATGAATAGGCTAGATTTAGTGAGTTACGCATCCCCTGCTTGCTCTGTTCTCCGAAAGAGATAATTGTCAAATGAGCATAAAGGGAGACAAGCCACTGGTTCTCCAAGACAGCTGACCACTTAAGCTGAGCACTTTCTATTTATAGCCGCGGGCAATCATTGTGTTCTTTACCGGTTGATTTATAAGCATTACGAGGTGAAAATCTCCTTTCAACCAGACCCGTCTCAACAATTTAGTGGCTGGACAATCGCATCAATTACTTCTTTGTTTGTTCATGTTGGCAGGATGTTGGATGTACATACCAGGATGAAATCCAACCACCAGGTCTGGCTTGGCTGCTTCCTCTTTCTCTATCATATCCTCCCAGAACTGGTGGTAGAGGCCCTTGAAGGCGCTGATGTAGACACTCTGCCTGGGGCCGAACGCCCTGAGAGGAGGCCTCACGATGGGCCCGTCCACACCTCTGGTCCCACCATGACTATCTCTATGCCCTGGTGTCTGGGGAACATGTTGTTCAGCTCGTCGTAGTCCGTCAGTCTGGCTCCCATGGTCTCATTGTGAGATACTCCTGCTATGTGAATAGTTAGAGGTTTAGTGCAAGGGTCAAGGCCAAATTGTTGCACAGCCATCCCAACTGAGAGAACTCGAGAGAGGAACTCGCTCTGAATCCGCCATAAAGACTGATGCAGGTCGGAGTCATCCGGCCTCGGCCTGCTGGCGTTCTGCCAAAGCTTTTCCATGTTGGTACCAGACAAGATGGCGTCCAGACGTGGCGTGAGGTCCCCCTGCATGGGAAGCCAGTCGTCCCAGTTCTTCACCTCGGCAGCTGACTTGGACCACTTCTCCGTGGGCAATGGGAGGTCTCCTGTTAGGGTGGCAGTACATTTATGATTGATTGAGTCACACAAAAAGACTCAGATTAGAGCCGATTCTGTCTAGCAAGTTTACATGGTGTCTGAAAAGCAATCAGAGAGATTCAAAGGCTGAGAGACTTTAATTAAAATGTCTGAAATCGCACCAGTATTGCACTGTGATGACTCTCTGTCAGTTTTTGTTTCTGAGGCGTTTAATTTCTACAGCTTGACTTTTTAATATGCCATCTCATTAATGATGATGAATGATTTTTGTGTTTATGTGAACTCAAACAGCTATCAAAGTGTTTCAATTTAAACAGCAGTGCCTTTTAAGTTCTTACCAGTGAACATCATCCACTCCACTAGTCTGTCAATGGCCACCAGGCGCAGCTTCTTGCAGACCTTTTTATGCTGAGGCCAGTCCTTTCGCTGACACTCTTTGGTGCAGTAGTACACATTCAAGCACCTGTGAGAGAAAGATAGGGGGGAAAGCATTGCATATATAAATGATAGGAGGCATAGAAGTTGAACAAATTACACAATTCCGGGGCTCTTGACAATGTTGTAGACCATCCACTTAACTGTTTGCACTTCAACATTTTTGTTGGAAATTTGGGTCCATCCAACATTGTCCAGAATGAAACTTGGGGAAGAAATGGCCATGACATGTGCCAGATATTCAAATTCCCAAAATATAAACTCCTAAACTTTGAGGATACTCCGACCTTGCCCTCTACTTTTGTTCATGACCAACTACCTGGAAAACTAATAGCCTCCCCATTATCCTCAGGTGTTTATGTTTATGTTTATTTAGGATCCCCATTAGCTTTTGCTCTTGACAAAAGCTACTCTTCCTGGGGTCCGACACTTAAAACAATACAACAATAATACAACAACATTCAAGACATAAGTCCTGACATCATTAACAACATCACCAATATCATCAACAATCTCCAACATCATCAACAATGTCATCCACTTTCAATATCAATCTCAGCCAAGGATGAGTGCACAAGACACCCACCAGTAGCTACAAAGCATGAGATACAATTGAATTAGGGTTCTCAGCTCAGCTCAGCTCAGTAGATGGCCAATCTCTTTCTGAAAGAGGCTCTGGACTCTATTTCAGCAAGGCAGTTTGGCAAAGAGTTCCATTCCTTTGTAGCTCTATAAGTCACAGAAGATTTCAGAGGATTTGTCCTGGGTTTAGGTGCCAGTAGATGGCCTGATGTAGCTTGTCTTGTCTTATGGTCATGCTCGTCTCTTGTGTAAACTATTTGATCATAAAAAAAATTGAAAAGTGATAACACGAGATTGCAGACATTTCTCAACCGGAAGCCATGATAGGTTTCTGGGTGATTCTCTGAATCGGGTGCCCTTTGTGTCCCCCAAGCTTACTTCAAATATTTTAAATGAAAGGAAANAAGTCCTGACATCATTAACAACATTAAAAACATCACCAATATCAACAACATGCGATCAAATTCAATTGAATTAGGGTTCTCAGCTCAGCTCAGCTCAGTAGATGGCCAATCTCTTTCTGAAAGAGGCTCTGGACTCTATTTCAGCAAGGCAGTTTGGCAAAGAGTTCCATTCCTTTGTAGCTCTATAAGTCACAGAAGATTTCAGAGGATTTGTNCCTCTACTTTTGTTCATGACCAACTACCTGGAAAACTAATAGCCTCCCCATTATCCTCAGGTGTTTATGTTTATGTTTATTTAGGATCCCCATTAGCTTTTGCTCTTGACAAAAGCTACTCTTCCTGGGGTCCGACACTTAAAACAATACAACAATAATACAACAACATTCAAGACATAAGTCCTGACATCATTAACAACATTAACAATATCATCACCAATATCAACAACATGCGATCAAATTCAATTCAATTAGGGTTCTCAGCTCAGCTCAGCTCAGCTCAGCTCAGCTCAGCTCAGTAGATGGCCAGTCTCTTTCTGAAAGAGGCTCTGGACTCTATTTCAGCAAGGCAGTTTGGCAAAGAGTTCCATTCCTTTGTAGCTCTATAAGTCACAGAAGACTTCAGAGGATTTGTCCTGGGTTTAGGTGCCAGTAGATGGCCTGATGTAGCTTGTCTTGTCTTATGGTCATGCTCGTCTCTTGTGTAAACTATTTGATCATAAAAATACAATGTTTTTTAGCAGAATTGGAAAAAAAATTGAAAAGTGATAACACGAGATTGCAGACATTTCTCAACCGGAAGCCATGATAGGTTTCTGGGTGATTCTCTGAATCGGGTGCCCTTTGTGTCCCCCAAGCTTACTTCAAATATTTTAAATGAAAGGAAAAAACAAAATGTATTTTTA